GGGTCTTGCTCTTGGGCAGGCTGGTCTCAAACTCCTGACCTCGAGCGATCCTCCTGCCTCGGCCTCCCAGAGAGCTAAAATTACAGGCTTGAGCCACCGTGCCTGGCAACATAACAGATCTTGACATTTGAAGTTTCATTGACAACTATTTTTCATCTATTCAAAAAAATATTTTGTAATCAGTTTTGAACAAATTCGAAAGCAATGTTATAATCTCTGCATTAGCAATGTCCTTTGCTCTCTCAGTTCTTGTTTTTTCTTTTGTCATTAGCGTGGCTCACAAAGGTTATTCACAGGAAAGGAATGGGCAGCAAAACCATTACCTAATTTTCTTGTCAGTAGCTTGAGGAAATTAAAAGTATTGAATAAAATTAAGTTTTGAGATTATTTGCATGTATCACAGTTAAACATTCTATCCTTGTCCTCCCCACCCTCCAAAATTGGAAATTTAAAAATAAGCTTTATTTAAGAAGTATAGTCTTAGAAAAAACACACATATTTTATTCCTTGTCTTCACTTTCTCTTTTCTGCCCTCTTTTTAACTTGCGTGCAGTCCCCACCCGTTAGGGCTGGAAGACATCGAGAAACCACCCTGGGTCCAACTCGCTCGTGTACAAGTCAGAGTCCTGCGCCCCCCAGCTTTCTCACCCCAGGACCACTCCCAAGTGCTCTCCCCTCACTCTCTCACCTGAGCGCAGGGGGATGTTCACAAGGTGCAGAGACTGGTGTCTCTTTCGCAGTCACCCAGGCACCTAATTGCTAGGCCTATGTCTCCAAGGGGCAGTCTGAAGAATTCTGCGTTCTTTTGGAGAAGGGATCTCATAGCTCTCAGGGTTGAGGCAATTATTTGCATAAACCAGGTAAAATTACTTTTCCCCCTCTTCCTTATTTAAAGCAGAGAAAAAGAGATGTCTTTTGAGTACTGCATAGGTCATAAATCTAGGGCAACTTTATGATAGAATCCACGAGTTTTCTTCAGCAAAATGTGGTCACCTAGGAGTAAAGACATCAACTCTGAGGTGGGCAGATTCCAATTCTGTGGGTCTGAATCTCAGGGCTGGGGTGGGACCCGAGATGCTGCGTTTCTCACCAGCTCCCGGGAACGCCAATGCTCCTAGTGTGTGCGCCCTGCTTTGAGTGGCGAGGCGCTAATGAGTATACAGAATTGGGGGTCTGCCTAGGAAGCAGAGTATTCTAGGGATGCAGCAAATGCTTCGCTGCAAGAATTGTCCCTGAGGTCCACATTGGATAAGAAGTTGGGGGAGCCAAAATGGGGACAGTGATAAATAGTCCAGGAAAGATGGGGAGGAGGTGGAAAGACAGGGGGTTGTGGTCAAACGGGTGTTTCTAGTGCAAGGTCTTAGAGGTGGAGGGGCAGGTGCCACGTGCGCCTTCCCAACAGGCGGCTGCAACAGTGAAGAGGGCCAGCGGTGCGGAAGAGCCAGCGGGCAGAGGTTTCCGTGCAGTCCCAACACCGGTTCCACGCCAGGTGCTCACATCGCAGCTCAGACTTGTTCATCTCCTGCACTGCTTACCACTCTCTTTTCTCCTGGCCAATATGTTATTTGAGAAATCTTTACTCATTCAACAAATATTTAACTCTATTTACACTTACTCCCTTAGAGACCTCATTTATTCACCTGGCTTTAAACAGCAGCTCCGTACTGGGGACTCCTAGCCTCACCTCCCCAGCCCAGATCTTCCTCGTTCTGCACTCCTGCACTTCTCCACCTGCACGCCCCAGACATCTCACATTTAATATGACCAAATGGAACTCCTGGACGCCTTCACAAAACTTGCACTGTCTCATCTCTGTGGGTGGAAACTCTACCTTTCCATTTGTTCCCACTGAAAATCTTGGGGGCATCCCTGACCCCTCTCTTTCCCACATCCAATCCATCAGCAAATCCCGTTGGCTCAACCTTCAAAGTACCCTGAGAAGTTGCTTGCTGCCACCTGCACTGCTCCTGCCTGGTCTGAGCCAGCACCAGTTCTCACCGAGGTTACTGCAGTAACAGGCTTGCCTGCTTTCACCTCCACCCCACCTCCCCACCAGCCAGCCCCTTTGCAAGCAGAGCCAAAGCGCCATCCTTCCACTGGCTTTGACTTCCTCCCTGCCATCCTCTCCTAGCTCACTCCAGCCCAGCCCCACTGGCCTCCTTGCTGCCACCACAGCAGGCATGACCCTACTGAGGCCTGTGCTATTCCTTCTGCCTGGAATGTTCTTCCATGTGATAATCACATGGCTCACTCCCTCATCTCCTTCAAGATTTTGCTCAAATGTCACCTTCTCAATGAAGCTCTGACCACCCTGTTTCAATATGCAAACTGCCTTCTTCCAGACCAAACTCCCATTACCCCATCCCCCTCCTCTGCTCTCCTAACATAGGATACAATTGACTTAGTAGACTTGCTAATTGTCTGTCTCTTGCACTAAAATATAAGTTGCAGGAGGGTAGTGTGTTTTGTTTTCTGAGGTTCACTTAGCTCACTGATGTAACTCAAGTGCTCAGAAGAGCACCTGCCCTGTTGATGGGGGAGTGAGTGCCCTGCATGTGCCAAGCTTTGTGCCAGTTCTTAGTTTACAGACACACTTGGCCTGTCCCTGTGGAGCTTGCATTCCCGCGGGTGGATGCAGACAAACCACCCAAAAAACATAAGACAGTGACAGTGTTGTGCAGAGGAGGAGACAAGTGCTGGGACAGGGACTGGCTGTCTACACTGGGGAGTTAGGGAAGGCTCTTCTGGGAAGGTGACACTTTATAGCAAGACTTGGGAAAAAGAGCATATTTGTCTTCTACTTATATGCGATATATGCATATTATGGCATAATCATAAAATCGAACTTTAAAAAAGCATTTCCATAACACTGAGGAAGTTGAGGGACGTTCCGGACCAGGTAGGTGGTACGCGCTGATGGCAGGGCTTCCGAGGACAAGTTCAGCAAATGGGCAGGATGCTGGTCTGGAGGCTGCAGGAAAGGCAAAACGGTTTCCCGCGGCTGGCAAAGAAACATGTCTGAGACGGACTCCATCCCTCCACAGTGTCTAACACGGTGAAGGATTGCATACTTGGTAAATGTTTCATTGTTGATTTTCAAATGGAGGACAAATTAGTAATTCCAACTGCAACAATTAAAATTTCAAGAGATAATAATGCCCAATTGTATTTTTTTATTAAAACAATGACTCACTTGTTGTGTAATGAGATTTAATTTTGCTGGTACTGGCAAAAATCTTCCTACTAAAGTAGTCATTGGTTTAGGGACATCTGTAAGGAAGACAATTAAAATTAATTGATAGCATATATTGTTCCTTTTCCACTTGTACATGGAAGAAAGTACAAAAATAAAAATGTATCATGGATTTATCATGTGCAAAGTTATTTAAACTTATCTTGATCCTACCTATCTTTTTAATTCTATAAAACCTTTCAGGTCAGCGTATTTTTTTCATTAATACTTATTACTTTTTTTCGGTCATAAAACTACTTGACCTGAGTTTCAGGGATAGTCTACTGTGCTAAAAATCGTTAGTACCCAGGTTCCCAAACTGTGTCAAGGTGCCCTGGGATGCCACAGCAAACTAATTTTTTTAGAAATGGGTCTTGCTATGTTGACTGGTCTGCCCCTGAGCTCCTGGGCTCAAGCCATCCTCCCACCTCAGCCTCCCAAGTAGGTATGACTACAGGCTTGTAGCAGGTGTCTGGCTATTTTATATTTTCAAAGAAAGCCCAGTGACATCTGTTGGATACCACATGAACTACTTTCAATTAATGTTTATTCTTTTTTTTGAGTGGTTACTAAGTTGTTAGGATCTAAATACTTATTAAGCTATTTGGACTAAAGTACTTAATACTGGAACTGATACATATTTTTTTTTGGCCTGAGAGCATCCCGAAAAACATTCTTGAGACACCAAAGGTGCTTCTTGGCGAACCTCCACACTCAGGAGTCTAGGCGGAGAGAGAAATGTGTCTTACTCTCCTGCAGCACCTGCCAGGCTGATCATGTGTCCTTCTCTGGGTTTATGCATCCTTTGAATGAGGAAACTTAGACTTAGGCAAGAGGACGCATTTATGCTACGGTGATGTCTAGTATCTACGGAGCATAACAAAGGAGACTGGGGGTATGATTATGTGACAAGGAAATCGAATTAGAAAACATTGTATAAACCCTCTCCTTCTGAGCATCTTAAGGCACTAGGATTTTGTTATGTGCCAGGAGGAAGCAGAGTAGAGAACGTCTCCCTGCCCACAGAGATCACAGATGCAACACTGACCTACAGGGAACAGAACTATAAAATCTGTGGCTGGTCTGTAGCAAAGGGATTCTTGAGGCCGAAGCCCCAACTCCAGCTTCTTCAAAGTGAAAAAGTAAATGTAAATGTAAATCGAAGATATTTTCTCTGCCCCTGGATAAAGAGACTATTGGGGCCGGGCGCGGTGGCTCACGCCTGTAATCCTAGCTCTCTGGGAGGCGGAGGCGGGCAGATTGTTTGAGCTCAGGAGTTCGAAACCAGCCTGAGCAAGAGCGAGACCCCGTCTCTACTAAAATAAAAAAAAAAAAAAAAGAAGCCAGTATTAGTTGTTCAACTGGAACTGTATTTAAATGTGAAGGATAAAGTTACAGCCACACACACACACCCAGAACTGGGGGAAAGGCTCAGAGTGGACTCTCCAAATCTCTGTCTGTGGCACACTCCTGGGCCCCACCCACGTAGAGGCCTCTGCCTTGCCTTCTGGAGAGTGCACGAACGTTACTCTGCAGTCTAGGGGAACCAGAGACTTCCAATCCTACTGACCTGCTTTGGGGGCCCTAGAAAAGCTCTGTTCTCAGAACCCATGGCCCCAAGCAGGACCATAGACAGAGAGGCAAGTACTAGTATATGCCACAACTAAGCCAAAACTTGTGTTGAGCTCATTTTCAAGTATTTGCTTGTTAAAGTCTATTCCTTAGAGCTAGGCTCTCATTTCTAAGAATAAAGAACTGCTGGGTGAAGGGCAATCATAGTTCTCTGGGCTCTAAGCACTTTGCCAAGGGAATTCTGGGGATGGGGTTCCCTGGCTCCCCCACTCCTAGTCCTCACCACAGTGAGATCTAGAGCTCTAAATGTACCACCTAACTATGAAGGCAAATGCAGATGATGTAACATCTCTGTTTTCTTATCCAGAAAACGGGGACAAAAATAATGCCTAGCCTACAGAGTTGTTAGGAGGACTAAATGAAATAACAAAGGTGCAAAAATATTACATAAACCACAGATGTTACCGATTACATATCCCATGTGTTAGCCGTCATCATTAGAAATGTGAAGACACGAAGGAAAGAGGCAGCCTCTGCCCTGAGCCACAGGGCTGCAGCCCCACCCTCCACCAACACACCAAACCACAGGCCCAGTCCCCAGCTCTGCACTGACTGATGTGACTTGTGCTTACTTTACTTAACAAATGAAGCAATGCCCTAATCTTTGTTCGGTTTGCTAAGACTGATAGAAATTAGAATCTTAGATGTGAAATGTGAAAGGCTCTAGTTGATGTCTTTTTTTTTTTTGATAGATGAGACAACCAAAAATGCTGATTTCAACAAGTAAACAGAATGAAAAACAATGACCAAAATAATCTATCGACTTGGTAATGACAGGGGTGCAACATTTAATATAATGTTAATCATACACATTTTCTTTGGCATAATTACCATTGGGTTCAAGTCTTTCTTATAAGAACAACCAGAGGCGGCCTCTGGTTCTTGGGATGATGAGAACTTGCAACAGGATTCCTGAGCAAGAGCATTCTGAAGAGTCGCGTCCTCCGGATTGTTACTTGTAATGGTACCACCTGTTTCCTTTATTTCAACCTAAAAAAAGCAATCATAATTTTAGGGAACACATGGTAGACATTGGCTCTTGCAGTTGCATAATACAGAAAATTTAAATCTGAGTTCTGTGTAAAAGTTACGTTTTAAAGGAAAGAACACCCTCACCCTTAATGCCTCCCTTTCCTCACTGGTGCTTCTAAAACTATACTTTCCCTGTGGGGCGAAAATCATCTGACCTGCGCCCCTGGGGACCGAGCAAGACTCTGAGGACCAAACCATTTGTCCATGAGGTGTGAGGATGTTATTTTGATGTGGTGTTTC